CAATCTCCTAGATTGTAAGCTCCAAGGAGCAGGGCCCTCAAATCCTTCTTGTATTTAACTGTATTGTTACTGTATTGTCTCCCACTGTCTCCCACTATAATGTAAAGCGCTGAGCAAACCGTTGACGCTATATAAATCCTGTATCATAATAATGTGATCAGTTATGATTCGTCATTTGATGACTTGACAGTTGGGTTGACAGCACACATAACCACACCAATCCCTGGTTAACACATAACCATTTTGGGATGTGGTTTGTAGTGGGCAAATTTAGATGACAGTAGGAATGGAATGTGTTTGTGGTGCGTTTACATATATGCAGTTGAGCCGCAGTACATTTTTGAAAAAGGGTCCTATGTGAGTTTTGAGGAATGCGTTCAGATTTTGCATTATGAGTCCGGTGGGAATCGCATGTGAAACGCTCATGACAGAGAGAATTGCAAGTGTATGATGAAACTACATGAGAAACGCTTTGCTGTTCAACTTCAATTATAGGTGAAATGGGACCGCATGTGCTGCTTGAATCGCAGTACAAAACTGATCAAGTTCAGAGTGTGTATGTATGAACCAGGGGTAAAAAAAAAATGTGACAGTCATCATTCATAGTATGCATGAATGTAACAGCTTTTGGAAACTGGTAAACCTTTACAGGCCCTTACCCTACATACTTAGTAGATCTCAGAGATTGAACAAACTGTAATGATGGCCATACATGCTTTGATACATTATTGATTTCTTTTCCAACTGATCTCTCCCAACAGAAATAAGCAATCTATTGTTGGAAAGGCAATCGATTGATATTACACACACACACACGGATTTTGACTAACAGCTGGAAGATGCGATCGAAAAGTAGTGGTCGCATATCTGTTTTCATCATGCAAACTCATAATCTGATTGACCCAAATACAATCAAACATCTCAGTGCTGCTGACCGATAATTTGCCACCCTGGGCATCGTCTCAGTTTGATCAAAATCTAAGTCTAAATCAATCGCAAGTGAAGTTATAGCTGTTCGACAGGTTGTCGATTTGGTCATTTTGATGTAACTACACATTGATAATAAAATTAAAGCATGTATGACCATCAAAACATGTGGTGAGCAACCTGGTGCAGGAAAGGTAAATATTTCAGCGCTTTTATCTCCCTTTGTTTACCCAACCCAGCAAGGCTCATGGCATAGTGTTATGTTAAAGTGGTTGTAAAGATTTTTTTTACCTGAATGCATTCTCTGCATTAAAGTGTTACTAAAATTCACAACAGTAAAATCAGTCTGTATATGCAGTAAAGCATGCTCACTGTGGAAACTAAAGGGTTAATTCTCCACATTGTGTAAAAGGCTGTTTGATCCTGTCTTCTCTGATCCTCCCCTTCTACTGTCCCTAATCCATTTGCAGATAGTACAGAAATCTAGGAGTCATTCTGCACACACTCAGTTTGTGTATTGCTAAAGAGCTTTTTTTCTTTGGGACGGTGCATGTAATCAGCATAGGGCCTATCAGCACTATTGAGACAGAGGGTCAGGGGTTATGCAACCTCACAGGACAGTCAGAGGAGACTGAAAACGCCTCCTAAAAACTTTAACCAGTGCTCAGCTGGACACTAGTAGAAGTCAGAAGACTGCTCTAGCTACTGATGAGAAAGGGTATTTAGCAGTTTACTTGTACTAAACTAATGACACTGGGCAGGAAGGGGTTAACACCAGGGCTGATCAAAGGGTTAACTGTGTGCTGTTTTACTGTATGTGCTCTGTGTGTTTTACTAGGGAAACATGCTGCTGTGTATTTCTTTTGCTGTGCAGAGAAAAAACAGCAGCATGTTATTGCTGGCAGGAGAGAGATCTGTGTTGTTTACACACAGGTCTCTCCCGTCACTTTTTCTTGGCGATTACTGGGTGCTGGCAGGGAACCTCCTGCCGGAACCTGATGATCGATATCTGTAGCCGCAAATGGCGGTGAAGGTAGGGCTCCCCTACCCAGAAATACAAAATCATGTACATAGACACATGATTTTGTGCAGCCCTGCAGCAGCATTTCTGCTATAGGGTGGAGGACAACTGGTTAAAGTGGTTGTAAAGGCTGGTTTTTTTTTTCAGCTTTATGCATTAAGGTAAGAAACCTGTGTGCTGGTCCCCCCCACATCCCCCTAATACTCACCTGTGCCCCCTCTCGATCCAGCGATGTGCACGAGATCCTCGGCTGTCCCGTGTCTCCCTGTCCTCATTGGCTGAGACAGCGGCGGGAGCCATTAGCTCCCACTGATGTCAAAGACAGCCAGTGAGCCAATGTGCTGGTCCCCCCCACATCCCCCTAATACTCACCTGTGCCCCCTCTCGATCCAGCGATGTGCACGAGATCCTCGGCTGTCCCGTGTCTCCCTGTCCTCATTGGCTGAGCTCCCACTGATGTCAAAGACAGCAAGTGAGCCAATGAAGAGAGAGCGGGGCAGAGCCTTGGCTCAATTTGTCTTATGGACAGAGCCAAGCTCAAGAGTGGAGCACACACCATAGCAAGCGGCTTGCTATTGGGAGCACTGGCCAAGGTGGAGGAGCTGGTAGAGGACCCAAGAAAAAGTATGACAGGTTTATTTAAAAAAAAAAAATTACCACTTTAAGGCCACTTCACACTGAGCTGTAGCAAAAACGCATATGCATTGTTCTGCATCTGCACTGCATTTTGTACAGGACATGTAACTAAAAAACCTGCACCAAGAATCAACAAGGGTGTGTTTTTGATGGATGTTTGCTGAGTTTTCCTTTCCTTTCAATGAAGAGATACGTTTTTTTGGTGTTTTTTTTTTGTTTTTTTTTAACCGCACCAAAAATGCAGCAAGCAAGATTTTTAAAAAATGTAGCAGACCCACAACGGATCAGCGTTAAGAGTTCCATAGGATTACATGGTAACGCATTTTTTTCATGCTTTTTTGTGTGCAAAAGCAGAAGAAAAATGGATCAGTGTGAAAGCAGCCTACTTATGCAGGCCATAGACGGGTCGAAAATCGGCCGATTTTCGCACTGTTAATGGGTTAATTGGTCGGCTGTTTTTTGTGGGGTGTTGGCACATTTTTTTTTAATCGGTAAAGTTGGGGGGGGGGGGGGGGGGGAATTGCCTGATTTTGGCGACTGGCCGATTTTCCCGATAAAAAAATCTGCGCATGAGCTGTGACCTGGAAGAAAAAAAAGAAAAAAAGAAAAAAAGAGAAGAAAAAAAAGAAAAAAACTGATGATTGGACCGTCAGTGTGAAAGAGGCCTAAAAAAAAAAAAATGCAGGAAGTGTGGGCTTGGGATCAAGCCCCCAGGAGTGCCCCCATAGGATGCGGCTTCCTATGGGGGCACACGTCAAAGAGGAGAAGACAAGAGCACCAGCAAGGGACCCCAAAAGAGGAAGAGGCAGGAATCCCAGAAAAAGAGGTTTGGGGATGCATTGAGCAAAAAAAAAAAAAAAACAAAAAAAAACAAAACACATGATTCATGGCACCAAAGTGCAAGGTACATACAGTATACTGCCACGCAAAAAGTGCAAAGAACCTGTAAAAAACGCATGCGCTAGGGTTACCTTATCCCTTTAAAACCAAACACATTAACACACAGGTTCTGGGGCTGATTATGGACCCTGTGTAATTAATGTGTTTGGGTTTAAAAGGATGAGGTGCCAACCCAAGCATGTGCCCAAACTGACCTTCTATGGTGTGAACTGGCCTCTATGCTGTATCTGCCCCCATCTTTATTAAGGTCCCTGGACACTTCATACACACCAGCTATGAGGTGACCTCAGACAGCAGCCCTCCTTATATAGATCTGACATCTTATCCCAATCATATCCGCAGATACAAATATCACGATCGCGTACAATGTAACCAAGCTGTCAGTCTACAGACCATATTAAAGGGACAGTGCCCAGGAGCCATGACGTCATGGCAGACAGAGCCCGCTTTGTGCGTAGTGTCCCCAACCTCCCACACACCGACCCTTCTCCAGCCCTCCTGTCCGCAGGACATACATATAACACCCCGTGCAAGGCACAGCGCCACTCGCGCACATTACGTAAGTGTAGACAACGAGACTTTCCAATAGAAGTGTACGGTCCCGCAGTAGGGATCTTTCCCAATCTCTCCACCCACACATAGAGAAGACGGAGCCGTGCCGAGCAGACATTGCACACAAATATATACCTACACAAACAATGTTTACACCGCTTCACACTTCTCTCCTCAGCTTCCGCTTCCCGGACTCGCCATGTGACTGAGCTGTGGTTGGCCAGCAGGTCGCAGGAGTTCAGCAGCGCTCTCTGTGATTGGGCGCCGGATGTCCCACCCTCTTGTTTACCAAGTAGCTGCTTTGATGTTCGGTGCTGAACGCTGTATGGCAGCTTCGGTCACCCTGGTGACAGCAGGGGACGAAGGGGACACCATCATGACAGACACATGACACAAACCAGCATGCTGTGAACTCCTGGCTGCCTACACCTCTCACAGCGCACCGGCCAGAAAGTGACAGTGCTGCCTGCGACCCCAAAGTAATGAAGTGTCCCCATGGGATTGCCCCTCCCCCTTCTCTCCTCTATTGCATAACCACTTGACCTCCGGAAGGTTTTACCCCTTCATGACCAGACCATTTTTTGACATTCAGAACTTTTTTTCCCACACAAATAGAGCTTTGTTTTGCTGGTATTTAACCACTTGCTTACCGGGCACTTATACTCCCTTCCTGCCCAGGCCAATTTTCAGCTTTCAGCGCTGTCACACTTTGAATGACAATTGCGCGGTCATGCAACACTACTCATGAAATTTTTAGCATTTTTTGAGACAGATAGAGCTTTCTTTTGGTGGTATTTAACCACCTCTGGATTTTTTATTTTTTGCTAAACAAATCAAAAACAACTGAAAAGTTTGAAAAAAAAAGTTTTTTCTTAGTTTTTGTTATAACATTTTGTAAATGAGTGATTTTTCTCCCTTCCTTGATGTGCTGCAGTGATGGGCTCTGTTAGGCTGCACTGATGGGCACTGATGAGGAGGCACTGGTAGGTGGCACGGATGGGCGTTGACAGGCATCGCTGATGGGCACTGAAAGGCAGCACTCATATATGGCACTGATAGGCGGCACTGACTGGCACTGGTAGGCAGCACTGACTGGCACTGATAGGCAGTAATAGGTGGCACTGAAAGGCAACTCAGATGGGCACTGATATGTGGCACTGATGTGCACTGGTAGGCACTGAGATGTGGCACTGATGGGCACTGGCAGGTGGTATGATGAGCACTGACAGCTGGCATTGATGGACACTGACAGGTGGCACTGCTGGGGCTACACTGATCATCAGGGCACACTGATCATCAGTGCCCTGATGATCAGTGTACATGTCCCCTCTGAGGAATGCCGATTACCTGCTCTCTGTCAGTGTGACAGCTCGTGAGGAGAGAAAATGTCGATAACCGGCATTTCCTTATTTACATGTGATCAGCTGTGATTGGACATAGCTCACATGACTGAGCCGTCTTTGGCTCTTTCCATTGCTGATGGGGCACAGCGCACCACTGATCGGCACGCTGCGTGCCCCGGAGCCGCGCACACGCGGTTACAGTGGGAGGACGTCATATGACGTCCTCCCAGAACAAGAGAACCACCTTTGGCCCATCATTACCTTATAAGGCTGGTGGGAGGCGGTTAATCACTACTGGGGTTTTTATGTTTTTGCACAAAAAAAAGACCAAAAATCTTGATAAAAAGGTTTTCTTTGTTTCTATTATATAATTTTGCAAACAGATAATTTTTCTCCTTCACTGATGTGCATTGATGAGGCTGTACTGATTGTAGGGTTAACCAAAAAAATGTAGGGACAGTCCTCCTGCGCTGCCAACCTAACTATAATGACCCCCAAGTGGCCGCAGACACCTAACTAAATTCCAAAATAGAACAGTGAGAGAAGTGAATTGGTGCTGTGCTACTCAGTGCTTAAAAAATAAATCATAAATAATAAATTAATAGAATCAGAAGATGAATGCACATATGACCCTCATCCAAGTGTGAAAACAACATATGCAAAAAGCATGGCTAGGTGCAGACAATATCAAACATCAATAAAGGCAGCACAGCGTGATAATATTGTGCCAGTGACTAAGTGAACACAAAATATAAATGATAATAAAAAACTGATGTGTTAGAAAAGAAACACAATGTGATAAAGTGAATAAGTACCAAAAAGGATAATAGTCGCATAAGACAGGAACACAAGGATTCTTCAACACAAGCCATGAAACATTCAGTGATGAAAATATATATAATCAATCCTCCTCCGGCTAGCGTGCACGCTCACCTCCAAAATGCGACCCACATGGAGTCATAAAGCATACGGAAAGCCTCAAACGATGAACTCAAATGGATGGTCCTCGATAGCAATCAAAGCAAGAGGGGTCAAATACTTTATTATAAACAGCAGGGCCCTGAGGAAGTCCCGTGACCCATGACACAACACGTAGGACGGAAGCGTGGTGATGTCATATCCTGTACGGACGGCAGTGGCCATCTTGGTACTCCCAATTCTATACACCTTTCCTGCAGTTTTCTGCTGCATTAATCTTGCCTGTATTGGTCTGCAGACCCTTTTTTAATGTGAGTAGTCATTTTGGGTGCTGTTTATAATAAAGTATTTGATATATTACACACTATGGGAAGTCTTCTTGCTTAAATCTTCCATGTGGGGATACTGGAGGGGATAGAGGTCTGTGTCCATATCTGAAGCATGCCTGTCAGTGTTTGCCAGCGTCATCGGAGAGGACCCCTTATTTTTTGATTGCTATTGAGGACCATCTATTTGGGATCATTGTTTGAGGTTTTCTGTATGCTTTATGACTCCTTGTGGGTCGCATTTATGAGGTGAGCGCGTACGATAGCCGGTGGAGGATTATATATTTTCATCACTGAATACTTTACGGCTTGTGTTGACGATCCATTGTATTCCTGTTTTTTAGGACTGTTATTATCCTTTTTGGGACTTATTCACTGTATCGTATTGTTTCTTTTTAACACATCAGTTTTTTTTAATTATTATTAATATCTTGTGTTCACTTAGTCACTGGCACAATATTATCACGCTGTGCTGCCTTTATTGATGTTTGATATTGTCTGCACCTAGCCATGTTTTTTTGCATATGTTGTTTTCACACTTGGATGAGGGTCATATGTGCATTCATCTTCTGATTCTATTCATTTATTATTTATGATTTATTTTTTATGCGCTGAGTAGCACAGCACCAATTCACTTCTCTTACTGATTGTAGGGTTGCCACCTCATCCCTTTAAAACTGAACACATATTAATTACATAGCTTCTGTGGCTGATTATCCACTTGCCCGCCTGAGGATTTACCCCACTTCCTGACCAGGCCATTTTTTGCGATACGGCGCTGCGTTACTTTAACTGACAGTTGCGCGGTCATGCAACGCTGCACCCAAATTAAATTTCTGTCCTTTTTCCCACAGATAGTGTGCTGTTTTACTATGTGCTGGTGTGTGCTTTACACTGTAATCACACTGCTTTTTATGGCTCTGCTATGCAGAGCCATACAAAGCAGTGTGCAGGAGCTGACAGGGGAGAGATCTGTATTGTTTACATACAGATCTCTCCCCCGTTGGGGATACACAGTGATCGCTGGGTGCCAGCGGGGAATTACTGACTGGGACCCGGTGACCAACAGGTGAAGCCGCCTATAGCGGCAGCCTGGGCTAGGTCGCACACGCACCTCCTACCCAAAAATGAAAAATCACACACATATATATATATATATATATATATGTGTGATTTTGGGCATCCCTGCCGCGCTATAGCAGTATTTCTGCTATAGGGCAGCAGGAAAGCGGTTAAGGTGGTGAATTCACTTAGTGCCTTATCTGCATTAAATTTGCCTCAGAACCTGTGTAATTAACCACTTCACAATCACCCTATAGCCAAAAGACGGCTACAGAATGGTGGCCCAGTTCTGGTATGGCGTCATATGAGGTTCTCTCAGAACGCGCCCTCCCATGCGCATCGACGCTTTCCGTGATCGCTGTGTCCTATGGATACAGCTGATCACACGATGAGGTAAAAGGCCAATCACAGCACAGTAAGTACAGTTGCCATTTAACAACAGCACTTTCCTCATGCCGTCACAGCGTGAGGAAAGTACTGCCGATAACCAGCAAATGTCACAGTGGACATGGGCACTGATCATCAGTGCCCAGCAGTGCCACCCCCCCAGTGCCCAGCAGTGCTGCCCAGCAGTGCCACCCATCAGTGCCGTCAGTCAGTGCTGCCAGTCAGCACTGCCCATCAGTGTCACCCATCATTGCCACCTATTAGTGCCCATCAGTGCTACCTGTTAGTGCCTATCAGTGCTGCATATCAGTGCAGCATCATCAGTGCCTCCTCATCAATGCCCACCAGTGCCACCTCATCAGTGCAGCCTATCAGTGCCCATTAGTGCTGCCTATCTGTGTCACCTCATCAGTGCTGCCTATCAGTGCCGCCTATCAGTGCAGCCTTATCAACGCACATCAGTGAAGGAGAAAAATTACCTGTTTGCAAAATTCTATAATAGAAACCAAGAAAAACATTTTTTTTTTTCAAATTTCTTGCTCTTTTTTTGTTTATAGTGCAAAAAATAAAACACCCAGTGGCAAGTAAATACCACCAAAAGAAAGCTCTATTTGTGTGAAAAAAAATTATAAAAATTTCATATGGGTACAGTGTTGCATGACTGCACAATTGTCATTCAAAGTGTGAGAGCGCTGAAAGCTGAAATTTGGCCTGGGCACGAAGGGGGTAAAAGTGCCTGGTAGGCAAGTGGTTAATATGTGTTCGGTTTTAAGGGGATGATGTGGCAACCTTACTGATGAGGTGGCACTGATGAGGCGGCATTGGTGGGCATTGGTGAGGAGGCACTGATGAAGCTGCACTGATAGGTGGCACTGATGGGCACTGACTGGCAGCACTAACTGATGGCACTGACTGGAAGCACTGATGGGCAGCTTTGTTGGGCACTGCTGGGCAGCACTGCTGGGCACTTTTGGGGCTGCACTGATAATCATGGCACTGATAATCTGATTATCAGTATAGACGTCTAAATGGTTAGCAATCCCAACCAGAGCACCACCTGCCTGGAGTTTGCATGTTCTCCCTGTGCCTGTGTGGGTTTCCTTTGGGTACTCCGGTTTTCTCTCACACTCAATGACATGCTGGTAGGTTAATTGGATTCTGTCAAAATTGACCCTAGTATGTGTAAGTATGAATGTGAGTTAGGGACTTTAGATTGTACACCCCTTGAGGTTTAGGGACTGATGTGAATGTACAATATATATGTAAAGTGCTGCGTAAATTCACAGCACTATATAAGTACCTGAAATAAATAAATGAAATAATAAATGTCTCCTTTGACAGTTGCTGGTTATCGGCAGTACTTTCCTCACGACTTGACACCGTGTGAGAAAAATACTGCTGATAACCGGCAAATTTATTTACATGGTGATCAACTTTGATTGGACACAGCTGATAATGTGGTAAAAGGCTGCTGTGATTGGCTTTTTACCATGTCATGTGATCAGCTGTGTCCTGAGGACACAGCAATCACAGGGAGCGCTGGGTGTGACGCTGTAGCTGTCATTTGGCTATAGCATGATGAGGAAGTGGTTAACTGGCAATTGTGCAGTCATGCAACGTTGTACACAAATGAAATTTATATAATTTTTTCCATATAAATAGAGTTTTCTTTTAGTGGTATATAAACAAAAAGATACAGAAAATTCTGGAAAAAAAGGTTTTTCTGGTATAAAATTTTTCATTAAGGTTGCGCTGCTGCTGTTTTTTTACCGGCAAGTACAAGTACCGATACTTTCGGTCAAGTACTCGCCGATACTGAGTATGATACCTTTGCGGTGCGATTACAAAATTAATGGACTTAAATCGTACTGCAAAGAATCGCATGTGATTTGAATTGAAATGCAGTGCGATTCCTGTCCAAATGTGGTTTTTCCCACTGCTCCTGTGTGATCCCATTTATAGTAAGACAGGGAAGCGCCATCTAAGAAGTGCAGCAATGGGCAAACAAAGAGTTTATTAATGTTTTAACAACTTACAAATACATGTTAAAAATACATAATATACACTCACCGGCTACTTTATTAGGTACACCTGCTCAATTGCTTGGTAACACAAATTGCTAATCAGCCAATCACATGGCAGCAACTCAATGCATTTAAGCATCTAGACGTGGTGAAGACGACTTGCTGAAGTTCAAACTGAGCATCAGAATGGGGAAGAAAGGGGATTTAAGTGACTTTGAACGTGGTATGGTTGTTGGTGCCTGACGGGCTGGTCTGAATATTTCAAAAACTGCTAATCTACTAGGATTTTCACACACAACCATATCTAGGGTTTCAGAGAATGGTCCGAAAAAAGAGAAAATATCCAGAGAGCGGCAGTTGTGTGGATGAAAATGCCTTGTTGGTGTTAGAGAAGAATGGGCAGACTGGCTACTGCAACATTTAGATGGTAGGGCTAGAATTTGGCGTAAACAACATGAAAGCATGGATCCATCCTGGTGCAATGGTGCAGGGGATATTTTCTAGGTACTAGCATGGTGTACCAAATAAAGTGGCCAGTGAGTGTATGTTGCATGTTAAATGTAAAATGACAACTGCTTGTGGTGCTCACAGGGCTGGAGGAGATGTATAGGCGGTCCACCCCCAAGCTTACATCATTTCCTCCCTATACCCACAGGGGTCCCAAAACTTCCTCCAGCCCTGTAAGCACCACCAGCAGCCTTGGTTTTGGATTTGACATGCAAGATACACTATATTGCCAAAAGTATTGGGACACCTGCCTTTACATACTGTACACATGAACTTTAATGGCATCCCAGTCTTATCCCATAGGGTTCAATATTGAGTTGGCCCACCCTTTGCAGCTATAACAGCTTAATCTCTTCTGGGAAGGCTGTCCACAAGGTTTAGGATGTGTCCATGGGAATGTTTGACCATTCTTCCAGAAGCGCATTTGTGAAGTCAGGCACTGATGTCAGACGAGAAGGCTTGGCTCGCAGTCTCCACTCTAATTCATCCCAAAGGTGTTCTATTGGGTTGAGGTCAGGACTTTGTGCAGGCCAATCAAGTTCCTCCATCCCAAACTCGCTCATCCATGTTTTTATGGACCTTGCTTTGTGCACTGGTGCACAGTCATGTTGTAACAGGAAAAGACCATCCCCAAACTCCCTTCACCACTGGAACTAAGAGGCCAAGCCCATCCCCTGAAAAACAACCCCACACCATAATCCCCCCTCCACCAAACTTTACACTTGGCACAATGCAGTCAGACAATTACTATTCTCTTGGCAACCGCCAAACCCAGACACGTCCATTGGAATGCCAGACAGAGAAGCATGATTTGTTACTCCAGAGAACACATCTCCACTGCTCTAGAGTCCAGTGGCGGCGTGCTTTACACCACTGCATCCAACACTTTGCTTTTCACTTGGTGATGTAAGGCTTGGATGCAGCTGCTTGGCCATCGAAACCCATTTCATGAAGCTCTCTACGCACTGTTGTTGTGCTAATATGAATGCCACATGACGTTTGGAGGTCTTTAGCTATTGACTGTGCAGACAGTTGACAACTTCTGCACACTGTGCGCTTCAGCACGCACTGACCCCGCCCTGTCATTTTATGTGGCCTATCATTTTGTGGCTGAGTTGTTGTTGCTCCCAAGTGCTTCCACTTTGTTATAATACCACTAGCACAATGCAGTCAGGCAAGCCGCCAAACCCAGACACATCCATCGGATAGCCAGACAGAGAAGCGTGTTCCATCACTCCAGAGAATACGTCTTCACTACTCTAGAGTCCAGTGGCGGTGTGCTTTACACCACTGCATCCGATGCTTTGCATTGCACTTGGTGACGTAAGGCTTGGATGTAGCTGCTCGGTCATGGAAAACCCATTCCATGAAGCTCTCTACACACTGTTGTTGTGCTAATCTGAAGGCCACATGAAGTTTGGAGACCTTTAGCTCTGCAGACAATTGGTGACTTTAGTGTACTGTTCTCTTCAGCATGCACTGACATCGCTCTGTCATTTTACATGACCTACTACTTTGTGGCTGAGTTGCTGTTGTTCCCAGTTGCTTCCGCTGTGTTATAATACCACTAACAGTTGACAGTGAAATATTTAGTAACAAGGAAATTTCACAGATGGACTTATTGCACAGGTAGCAACCTATCACGGTACCAGACTTGAATTCACTGAGCTCCTGAGAGCGACCCATTCTTTCACAAATGTTTGTAAAAGCAGGCTGCATGCGTAGGTACTTGATTTTATTCACCTGTGGCCATGGAGGTGATTGGAACACCTGAATCCAATGATTTGGAGGGGTGTCCCAATACTTTTCGCAATATAATGTATGTTCCGTACTTTTAACATTTGAGTTGTTATACTATTAATAAACCACTTGTTTACTCATTGTTGCACTTCTTAGATGGTGCTTCCCTGTCTTTCTGTACTGGGATCACACAGGAGCGGTGTGGGAAACCACATGTGATTAGGACAGGAATCACACTGCAAGACAGTACAAATATCCCCCAAATGACCCCTTTTTGGAAAGCAGACAGTCCAAAATATTTAGTAAGAGGCATGGCGAGTTTTTTAAAGTTGTATTTTTTTGGAAAATTAAGAAATGAATTTTTTTTAACATACTGTCAGCGCTGCCGTACAGTGTCATTATATGACTGGTGATCAGGATCAGCAATACTGACTGGTAATAGTATGTAAAAAGTACATACTATGCATACAGTGGACACAACTGTCGCAGATTGCAATTTCTTGTGAGTGCCATTAACCTTCATGCACCCCTTTGTAAGCAACTTCAGACCAGGCTCAGGTAACAATTTAACAAACTTTATGTAAGATTTTCTCAAAGTACAAAACACAGTTCAGAGAACAATTCCTAACTATTCTAGGTTGTGGCTGCCCAGGCATACCTTCCAGTGTCACAGCATCTCCGGTCCCCAAAAGCAGAGGCTGCTAGATTTTATATCTTTATGGCTTGTCTCTGTCTTCTTCCAATGCAGACCACACTGTATGCAGAGCCCTCCTCCTTTTTTTTAACAGCACAGGGGAGAAGGCAGAGCCTAGAAAGAGTGGGAACTGCAGAGACACATTTAACTCCTTCTCAGACTGGACAGCCTGTCTCACTTGCTAGTGTGTAAGTGGTTTGCAATTGGGCTAGTTAGGCGCTGTCCTCGAGTTAATGTGTTTCCTGGGTCTTTGGCTTTGCCTGTTTTTTTTGGGTCTGACCTACTGATCCTGTGGATATATAAGGGGCAGTGGTCTGAAGTCAGAGTGTTCAGGCACATGTGTATGCCTTGGGATTTTCCCTCCTCGTCTGACAAATCCACCATCATGTATGGGAAACTGCCAGGGCCTGTGGTCCTCCCCAAAGACACCAGCTGCTGACAACCATGGATCTTACTACTATCGACCTTATGATACATGGATTTCACCTTTCTGCAGGTATGCTGGAGCAGCACATAACCTGAGTTATGATTAAGGACATAGGGACAAGAAATTTTTTATTACACTATAGACTTTGTTATGTTCTGACTCTTTTCTTAACCAATTCAGCTCTGGAAGATTTTACCCCCTTCGTGACCAGGCTATTTTTTGCTATACTGCACTGTGCTACTTTAACTGGTAATTGGCACGGTCATGCAACACTGTACCCAAATGAAATTTGTATAATTTTTTTTACACAAATAGAGCTTTTTTTTGGTGGTGTTTGATCACCACTGGGTTTTAAATTTTTTTTTTTGCGATATGAATGTAAAAAGACCAACAATTTTGAAAAAAAAGTATTTTTTACTTTCTGGTATAAAAAAATTCAATTAAAAAATATTAAAACTTAATTTCTTCATAAATTTGTGCCAAAATGTATTCTGCTACATGTCGTTTAAAAAAATCCCAATGAGTGTATATTGATTGGTTTGTGTGGAAATTATAGTGCCTACAAACTATAGGATATATACTGGATTTTTTTCTTATACTACTAATGGTGGCAATCAGTGATTTATAATGGGGCTGCGGAAGTGTGGCATGCAATCTAACACTAACTGCCACTGACATCTCCAGTGACATGAATACAGTGATCACTGATAATGCTATACACTGTCACTATACTGATGACACTGGCTGGGAAGGGGTTAACATCTAGAGTGATCAGGGATTAAATGTGTGCCCAACTATGTGTAAAGTGTGCTGAGAGATCTATCAGTTTGTCATCCCTGTAAATAGGTAGCAGCATTCCTTGTACGTCACTTTACCTAAAGCTGCTGCCTCTCAGCAGTACATTGTGGGTGGGCGGGAAGAGGTTAAGTAAAGCATTGAAACTTTGCCTTCTGCTTGGTTTAAAGTTATTTAACCACTTGAGCTCCTGAGGATTTACCCCCCTTAATGACCAGGCCTCTTTTTGCTACTCGGCGCTGCACTAATTCAACTGATAATTGCGCGGTCATGCAATGCTGCACCCAAACAAAATTTACGTCCTTTTTTTCACACAAATAGAGCTTTCTTTCGGCGGTATTTGATCATCTGTGCACTTTTTATTTTTCACGCTATAAACATAAAAAGGCCAAAAATTTTGAAGAAAAACAATATTTTTTACTTTCAGCTATAAAAAATATATAGTAAACTCAAAGTTGGTTATAAATTTAGGCCAAAATGTATTCTGCTACATGTTTTTGGTAAAAAAAATCCCAATGAGTGTATATTGATTGCTTTGTGTGGAAGTTATAGCGTTTACAAACTATGGTATAAATACTGCAACTTACGCCATTTTTCTGCTATACAGCGCTGCGCTAGTTTAACGGACAATTGTGCGGTCATGCAATACGGTACATAAATGAAATTTACATCCTTTTTTTCCCCACAAATTGAGCTTTCTTTTGGTGGTATTTGATCGCCTGTGCGATTTTTATTTTTTGCGCTTTAAAAAAAAAAGGCTGACAATTTTGAGGAAAAAAAAACAATAATTTGGACTTTTTGCTATAAAACATGTCCAGTAAAAAAAAAAATGCAAAAATCAAATTTAGTCATAAATTTCTGCCAAAATGCATTCTGCGACATGTCTTTGCTAAAAAAAAAACCCCAATACGTGTAAATTAATTGGTTTACATGAAAGTTATAGCATTTACAAATGGCGGGAAAGATACTGGGATTTTTAGGTTTTTTTTTTCTACTAATAATGGCGGCGATCAGCGAATTATGGCGGCGATCAGGGACTTATGGCAGCGACCAGCGACTTATGGCGGGACTGCGGCGGGCATTCTGACATTGGGGGGGGGTACTGACTTGGGGTCACTGACATCCCCAAAAACACTAATACTGTGATCAGTGCAAAAAAAAAAAAACTGACACTGTACTAATGGCAATGGGGAGGAAGGGGTTAACTTTATTTTGCAGGGAAGGGTTATAGGAGTGAGGGGAGTGTTTTACTAGGGGGCGGGGGTGTGTACTGGGCGGGACAAGGCTGATCGAGAAAGTGAAACTCTTCTTTCTCGATCAGCTCATCCTCGAGCTGACAGGGAAGTGACAGACAGCACAGCTACTGCAGCCGCCGGGACATAGCCGCTAACGAGCGGCTGTGACCCGGCGACTGACATCTGCGGCTAGGATCCACAGGACAGATAGGGCGGCGGCGCGCCTCGCGCGCGCCCCCCTATTTGTTTACAAAACACACGTCTTAAAACGTGGTTTTGCCTGTGAGTGCCGCCCTGCCGCCATATATGTACAGTGGCTGGGGGGCATGTGGTTAAAGGAGTTCAATGCAAGTAACTGGCACATTTTCTACAGCTTTGGGTCACTAGCATATTGGGGTTTGAAGAGTTGGCAGTTAAGAATCATCCTAGTGCAGTACAGCAAGTGGTTACCATGGGTAGCCGAAGTCTACAGTCAGTTAATGCAGACTGTCAGTAGCATGTACCTCTTACACATAATGGCCTCTAACAGAGACGGAAATGTTGTTGGTAGTCTGTCTCCCATAGCAATGGGAATGGATTCGCACCACAGGGGTCCACATTCTGTACAGAGGTACTGAAGTTCAAGAGACAAATCAAGTGTATGTACAAAGCCAGCACTAGGTGCACAGCAGGGTTCATTCCGCTGCTGGGAACGGTAGTGGAAAACACTGGACAGATGGATGTGAACAAGGCTCTGCTTGTCCCTCCTAATTGCAAGTCTACAGTGGTAGGGTACCTTGTCACAGGGACTCAAGGGTTAACTGGAGAACAGTTATGGTACAAGTGTACATGGTGTACATTCATCCCAAATAGTGGAGGCCTGCCTTAGGATTCGGTATTCCCCCACGGTGGCCTCAGCTTTGTCCCAGGGCACTATTGTGATATACTCATTTATACTCATAAACATGCTTATAGATGCATAATATCATGCAGGTATGTAAATTACTGCACTCAAATGTTAAATTTTATGTTTTTGTTTTATGGCTCTGTACTTATCTCTGTATTACTGATCTTTATGCTATTTTTACATTGCTCTATTGCAAAAATGTGGTGTTGTGACGAACGCGGCATCAGACCCCAGCCCTTCTAACCAAACTCATGACCGAAGGACTAGCCAATCTAAAATCGCGATGTCACATGTGTAACAATGCCACACCCAGCTGCACCCCGCACAACAATTTTCCAGCTAATTGGACCACAATCTATGTACCGGTAGCCTGACCGATTGTTACTGGGTCAGGTTAATTACGCAATTAACCCTTCACACTGCCACCACCTCCTTTTTGTACAGAGAAAGAGGAAACTCGGCGATATCCACAACACTATAATGGTTGAGGTAATCGTCTGTATAACATGGTCAACGCAGGCCGGTTATACAGAGGGTTAAACAAACACAGTAGCGCTTTTTTTTAGAGGCAGGAGTTCGGAAATTGCAATAAAGAGCTATAGAAACAGTTCAACACTTTCAGAAGGAAAGCTTTATTACTAAAAGGTCAAAAGGGTGCAATAAAAATATTTACAGAAAAAAGATGTAATCAATATATATAAATATACAAAGAACAACAGCACAGCAAAGAGGTAACAGAAAAGAGGTTAAAGGGTTAAAGTACTTGCCAATCAGCCTTGGGTTTGCAAATCAAGTTTCAGAGCGAAAGGGTACGGGTCTCCCCAGGTGGTTCTGATGTTAAAAAGGGAGAATTCTTCAACCTCCTTCTCTTAGGCCTGACATCCCATTTTGTAGTTCCCCAATAGGGGATGTCTCTGAAGTCAAGGACCAATACCCCGTTTAGGGAGGGAACGTCTGGGCGTGGACCTAAACTAGAGCCAAAATCTCTTGTAGTTCATATTTTGGCTCATAACTTTCCCTATACACAAGTGACATTCCACCCGCAGGTAGATTATT